AGCTTGCTCTCCTCCATGTTGCCTTTGGCTGCAGTGTTTTTATCACAGCAATAGGTAAATATCTAACACACCAACGGAGGCTCAAAATTTTTGAAGGATTGGGAGTGGTGGTTAAAGAGTTCATTGTAATTTCAACAATTAGGAGGCTGAGGCTGGAGGATGGCTGGGGGTCAGAGGCTAGCCTGGGCTACCCTGTGAGTTTCAGACTAACCAGGCCTATGGAATAAGGCATAGTCTCAAAGGGAAAAAGTGAAACCTTTATAGGAAAGCAGGTTGTGATGGTTTGTTTTTGTCATAGACATAAGCTAGGGCCATCTTCGAAGAGGAAGCTTCAGTTGAGACAAAGGCTCCGTGTAATTAGCCTGTAGACAATGTGGCCTCTGCCTCATGAGCAATGGATATGGAAAGGGCCTAGGCCACTGTGAGCACTGGCACTCTGGTCAGGCAGTCCTGGGCTGTCTATGAAAGCAGGCTGAGCAAGTTATGAAGAGCAAGCCAGCAAACAGCATCCCCCTCCCAAAGCATCTGTTGCAGCTCCTGCCTTAACTCCCTCAGGGGTGACTGTGCTCAGGACATGACAGCCAAATCCATCCTTTGCTCCATGAGTTGCCTTTGGTGATGGTTATCACAGCAACAGAAAGCAAACCAGGACACAAGGCAACACATTTCCTCCAACTGAAATAGATCTAGGTTAGAAATAAGAGAAAGGTCTTTGGAAGGCAACCAAACACCTAGAAACTAATAACTTAGTTGACACAAGTTGTGTGTCAAAGAAGAAATCAAGTGGAAAATTAGAAATTATTTAGGGCTTAACATGCTACTCACCCAGAAAGTTAGCACCAGAGGTGGAGATAACGATGTTTGTTTTACTGGTTGTTTCAGCCCCTCTGGAGCATGGGGCTGCAGGGTAGGGCAGAGTCATGGCCCCATAGCTGCTTCCAGAGGACACAAGTCAGTCACAGTGTACAGTGCAGAATGGCCTGAGATTGGGAGCAGAGCAGTCTGGGAGGCCAGCCCAAGATTACTGTGTTGCAGATGTTGCAGAACTTCCAAGCCCAACTTCTGCTCTGGGTGAATATGAGCAAACAGGTCATTTGTCTGTGCAACAGCTGTGGATTTTGTCAAAATCCTTCACAGAGTATGAAGGTTCTGTGGGTTATGTGCCTGGGCAGCAAGGAGCTGGTTGTCGGTAGCTTTTGGCATCAGGACGTAATGCAAATAATTGTTCCTTATGTGGGCAAAAGCCTTGACAAACTTTCTTTGATAGGATCAGTCTGAACACATATATTTCCAATATCAAAATAAGTGGCAACATTGTATGCAAATTCTTCATTTACAAAAGTCAGACAGTCTCTAAGAGCTTTCTGTGGACATCTTCCTTTGTGGGAAGTGTGCACAATACTCAGCAGCCTGGCCTCTTACATTTTTGTTGAGGTCTATCTAGCCAGTTCAATGAACCAGACCTGAGGCATCTGTCCCAGTGTAGGGACATCAGGCTGCTGAAGCTGCTGGCTCAGGTGACACCCATGTGAAACCCTCTGACTTCTGCTGGAGAAGGCAGCAGCAGGCATTCTTCAGGCCCCAGTCTTAGTCTAGGGTAGGCTCACTGACTCCTACTTAAGTACCATCCTCCAGGCTCACTCACATCCTTCAGTTGCTATGGCAACTGCATCTCTGTTCTGTAGGACTGGCTGTATCACACTGCCAGGCTGAGCCAATGAAGTGAAGGATTATCATGGTTTGCTGTTGTCTGTTTGTTTGGTTGGTTTTGGTGTTTTGAGACAGGGTTTCTCTGTGTAGCCTTGGCTGTCCTGGAACTCACTCTGTAGATCAGGCTGGCCTCGAACTCTGCCTTTGCCTCTGCTTCCAGTGCTGGGATTAAAGGCGTGTGCCAATGCCCAGCATGAAGGATTATCTTCTATACCTTGGAGAACCTTCAAAAATGTGGGGGTACTGTTGATGAACAATTTCCCAGGCGTGTCTTACATTGAGGCAGGAATAGAAGGACATTGAGGGAGTGATGAAAGCCCTGAGTGAATGAGCATGGCCACGACATGGGCCCAACGCCTCAGCCCTGTGTGAAAGGCAAAGCTCTCCCGCTCTGGGTCAGGCTCAGAAGGATAAATCCTCCCTAGAATCCAATTACAAGTGTTTACCAACAGTTGCCCAGTGTGAGTGAAAACTAGCAACTGCAGCTTCCTCCTGCCAGGTGTTTCTAGCCAGAGGTTGCTCAGCAAAAGACACTTCCCCTGCCGCACCTAATGAGCACATGGCCCCAGGTTATTGCTGTAGTTCATGCCACTGCATCAGACTTGTGCACAACCCACCTGACCCAACTTTTCTGTGCATGTCTGTCGTTACTTCATTCCCCGGACACCACAGTCAGGTTTCCAGACCCAAGCCATGTGGGATTTGGTGGGACATAAGACCAGAGCATAGCCAATCTGCACCAAAACCCTTGGGTTCCACTGGCAACTGAGAAGTCACAGAGTTTGGTTACCATGTATCTTTGTGTGTAGCTGTAACTATGGGAGAATTATTTACCTGAAACCACAGAATGGAAGATGAAGGTAGGAAGACCTCATGTTAAAGACCAACTTAGGGTATATAGTGAAATGTTATTTCATTTCTGTCTATCTCTCCTTCAAAAAATTAAAAAAACAACAAATAAATATAATGTCTTGGTGTTTCTGTTGCTGCCGATGAAACACAATGACCAAAAAGCAAGTTGAGGAGGAAAGGGTTTATTTGGCTTACATTTTCACATAATACTCCATCACTGAGGGAGGTCAGGACAGGAACTCAAACAGGGCAGGAACCTGGAGGTAGGAGCTGATGCAGAGGCCATGGGGGGGGGTGGGTGCTGCTTACTGGCTTGCTCTCCATGGCTCAGCCTCCGTCCTTCCTTCCTTCCTCCCTCCTTTCCTTTCTTTCTTTCCTTCCTTCTTTCTTTCTTTCTTCCTTCCTTCCTTCCTTTTTTCCTTCCATCTTTCCTTTTTTTTCTTTGTTTTTTGTTTTTTTTCTGAGACAGGGTTTCTCTGTGTAGCTTTGGAGCCTCTTCTGCTGACGCTTGCTCTGTAGACCAGGCTGGCCTCGAACTCATGACGTTCTGCTTGTCTTTGCCTCCTAAGTGCTGGGATTAAAGGCATGTACCACCATTGCCAGACTCGGCCTGCTTTCTTATAGAACCCAGGACTCGCAGCCCAGGGATGGTTCCACCCTCAATGGGCTGGGTCCTCCCCTATTGACCACTAATTGAGAAAATGCCTTACAGCTGGATCTTATGGAGGCATTTCCTCAACTGAGGCTCGTTTCTCTGATGACTCTAGCTTATGTCACGTTGAAACACAACCAGCCAGGACACATTATAATCAATAATGAGGCAAGAAGGGCCAGCGAGATGGCTGTAGGTAAGTGTGCTTTCGATGCAAAGTTGATGACATGAATGGGAGAAGGGGCACTGGGGATGCTGTCTCGACTGGAGAAGACGCAGAGATAAGGGAATGTCACCCGAAGTATCTCACTACACTGCAAATCATGTTAGCTCAATGTCAGATTGTTTTTTAGAGAACAGACCCATTAGAGGCATGTAGAAAGGCATTACTACCAGGGATGACATTGTTGCCCAATGTATGTCATGTGATCAGTGATAACATGTTCATAGTCAGACTGGGTGTGGTGGTGCCACCATGGATTCCACGTGCTTGGAAAGAGATCATGAGTTCAAAGCCAGTCTGGGCACCTTAGGGTGGCCCTGTCTGAAACTAAAATAAAGATGGGCGGGGAATGTAGCTCAGTGGTGGGCAGAGTGCTTGTCTAGCACGCAGAAGCACTGGTCAGGCCACTGAACCATCAAAAAAAAGTAATAAGCAATACCAAAAATTACCTAGTCATATGAAAAATTCAGAGCATGAAAACACCACACAATAAACATAAAATAATTAATTTTAAAAAAATCTGAGCTGGATATGGCAGCCCATGACTGTAAGTCCACAATTTTAGAGGTGGAGAGAGGATCAAGTAATTCAAGCTCGGCTTCCCCTACATAGGGACTCAGTGCCTGCCTGGCTTGCATGAGACAGGCTCACAAAACCAACAAAATAATACAAAATCTCAGCCAACTAAACAATAGTAATTAGGTTAAAAAGAGCTCATCCCATAGGATTTTTAGTTCAAGTTCTTCTTCTAGATGATTGCTTTATTATTGTTGTTGTTTTTATTTTTTATTTTTCAAGATAGCCCTAGCTGTCCTGGAACTCTCTCTGTCGACCTCAAACTCACAGAGATCTGCCTGCCTCTGCCTCCTGAGTGCTGGGATCAAAGGCGTGCGCCACCAGTGCCCAGCTATTGTTGTTGCGTTTGAGACAGGGTTTTGCTGTATGGCCGAGGCTGCCCTTGGATTCTCAGTGCCCCTGCTTCAGCTTCTCATATGCTGTGTTACCATGCCTGGCTGCAGGTTTGCTCTCTATAGTGTTTCTGTCTCTTCTTTGTGACCAGGTTGTTAATTATCTCCTGGTGCCAGTAGGGCTCCTCGCTTCTAATTGTTTTATTCTATGCTGCGATGAGCCCAGAGCCCAGCTATTAAAGTTGGTTTTACTGTGTAAACTGCACAGGAGTAGAAGGATGTTATTGTAAGCTTGAAATTTCACATACTGGAAGTAGAATATCGAGAAGGACTGCAATAGATGAGTGGCAAGATAGCCACAAAGGGACAGAAAAGGTGGTCTGGAATAAAGAAAACAACAAATCTTAGGCCAGGAGTGGTGGCACATGCCTATAATCCCCATACTTGGGAGGCTGAAGCAGGAACATTGCTTTGAGTTCAAGGCCAGCCTGGGCTATATAATGATACCCTGTTTCAAAAAACAAGGACAAAACTGAAACCAGTCTCTTAGTCATGAAAATACTCTAGGTGTCATTGTTGGTTAGATTGAGAAGAAGGTGAGAAATTAGCAGAGCGCACATCTGGGTTTGTGTGAGGGTACTTTCAGAGAAGGTTCATGAATGAAGGAAGAGCTGCCCTGAGCAGCATTCCACAAGCTAGGGGCTCAGATGGACCAAAGGAGGAAAGGAAGAAGCTAGAGTGTAGACATTCATTCCCCTCCCCCAGCCTGCCTTCTTTATATGATGCTAAGAAGCTCTGCTGCCACATGCCCCTGCCGCATGCCCCTGCCGCATGCCCCTGCCGCATGCCCCTGCCGCATGCCCCCTGCCGCATGCCCCCTGCCACATACCCCCTGCCGCATACCCCCTGCCACATACCCCCTGCCACATGCCCCCTGCCGCATGCCCCTGCCGCATGCCCCTGCCGCATGCCCCTGCCGCATGCCCCCTGCCGCATGCCCCCTGCCACATACCCCCTGCCACATAACCCCTGCCGCATGCCCCTGTCACATGCCCCCCTGCCGCATGCCCCCTGCCGCATGCCCCCTGCCGCATGCCCCCTGCCGCATGCCCCCTGCCGCATGCCCCCTGCCACATGCCCCCTGCCACATACCCCCTGCCGCATGCCCCCTGCCACATGCCCCCTGCCGCATGCCCCCTGCCGCATGCCCCTGCCACATGCCCCCACCTGCCACACGCCCCCTGCCACACGGCCCCTGCCACATGCCCCCTGCCACATACCCCCTGCCACATGCCCCTGCCACATGCCCCCTGCCGCATGCCCCTGCCGCATGCCCCTGCCGCATGCCCCCTGCCACATGCCCCCCGCCACATGCCCCCTGCCACATGCCCCCTGCCACACTATGCTCCCTTCCTCCCTGTTAGAATAGTATGTATATCCTGTACCACTGTATGTTGGAAGTGTGTGGTCAGCTTTTTTATTTCATAAAAGGGTTACAATTAAGAGACTTTGAAATTTGGACTGCTAAAGAGCATTGAGACTTACAGATTATGGGGATTTTTGAAGTTGGACTGAGTGCATTTTTGCATTATGATGTGGCTATAACCTTATGGGGGTCAGGGAGTGGCCCCCGGAAGTTCATATATTTGAATGCATAGAGGACGGCACTCTTTGAAAAGATTAGGAGGTGTGATCCTGTTGGAGGAAATGTGTCACTAGGGGTGAACTTTGAGGTTTCAAAAGCCCAAGCCAGGCCCAATGTCTCTCTCTCTTCCTGCTGCCCATGGATCTGCAAATAGAGTTCTTCAGCTCCTTCTCCAGCACCATGTCTGCCTGCACACTGCCATGCTTCCCACAATGATGACAATGGACTAAACTTCTGACGTGTAAACCAGCCCCAGTTAAATGCTCTCCTGTATGAGAGTTGTTGTGGACAGTTGTTCCCTCAGAGCAACAGAACGCTGACTAGAACAACAACAGTAGCCTGAAGAAAGCAAACCTAAAACCAGCTGGGAAAACTCTAAACTCTGCATCTCCATGTCTGATGTCAAAGTGCTCTTCAGATCTCCAACTCCGTTCCGCTTTGTTGACTGCAGCACAACTCTCTCTCTCTTGGGCTGGTTTCACGTACTTAGTAGCAGCTCTCTTTGACAGGTATCCCATGACTCTGGCACCTCCAATGTCCTGGGGTCTCCAGTGAAAACGGGCTTCACCTTCACAGCTTCACACAGTGGCCTCCTTGGGCCTCCATGCAGGGACACCTCTGGCCTCAGTGGCTTTCCTCAGTTAGAGGGGAATATTCCATAGCACCTTTCTTCTACCCTTGATTCTAAATCCAGAGCCATGTGGGTGAAGCTGAAAACTTCTGCTGCTTGCTGGGCCTGGAATATGGCCCCCTCATTCAATTACATCTGCATCAGCTTTCTGTTGTAGATGGTTTCCTTCATGGCTTAAGTTTTTCTTTAATTCCTTTTCACAAGTTGGAACCTCAGCTGGGTTGAGTCTTGCCCTGAGGTTACCACCCCTTTATTCCATTTACTTTTTCTTTAAATTTTTACATTCTTGAGCATAGGACTTAGTTTCATTACACTTCCTGGGGCTTCTGTTCTCCCTAAACTGTTCATTTTGTATTTTTCCTTGCTCAGCTTGCTCCTTTTCATTATAGATCTGCATAAGACTGGCCACTACTAATAAATAATGTATTGTGATATGTGAAAAGGAAGTATGGGAGTAAGAAACACAAAATAAAATCTTTTACCTTGTTTCTGAGAGAGAGAGAGAGAGAGAGAGAGAAATTGACCACTAATAACCACATGACAAGTCAACACTAGGTTTCTTGAAATCTCCTTTGCCAACACCATTAATCCAAAGCTCTTCAATTTTCCTCATATAGATTTTTTTTTGGATAAGGGCAAAAAGAAGCCACATTTTTCACCATAATATCACAAGAACAATTTTTATGCCACTCACTAATATCCTTCTCCTCTGAAACCACTTGAGACAGACCATGATAATCTGTATCACTCTCAGCTGCACTGTCTTCCATTATCCTACTAGTATTAACTATTAGGCCTAGCTTAAAGTGTTCAATTGCTTTTCTAACCCAAAGTCCACAATTTCACCAGCAAGCAGCATGGTCAGACCTATCGCAGCAATACCCCACTCCTGGTACTAACTTCAGTCTTAGTCACTATTCTATTGCTGTGAAGAGACACCTGACCATGACAACTCTTTTAAAAGAAAATATTTAATTGGGGCTTAGTTACAGTTTCAGAAGTACAGTATCAGCATGGCAGGAAGCATTGTTTTTGTAGAATATTAGTTTAATTAAGTAAAGATGTGTTGTATTTATTTACCTTCCCTGCCTAAGGCACCTGACTGGTCTAATAAAAAGCTAAATGTCCAATGGCTTGGCAGGAGGGAGAGGCAAGATTTTGGGGCAGGGAGAATAATCAGGAGGAGGAATTTAGGTTTGAGGAAGGAAGAAAAGGAAACTAAGGGATCCGGCAAGAGCCAGCAGGAGCCAGCAGGAGCCAGCAGGAGCCAGAAGTCAGACATGGAGGAAGCAGGAATGTAAGATGGACAGTACATCGATGAGTTAAATGAACCTTGGCATAGCACATAGATGAATATAAATGGGTTAATCTAAATTTTAAAGAAGCTAGCTAGAAACAAGCCTAAGCTAAGGCTGAGCATTCATAATTAATAAAGTCTCTGTGTCATGATTTAGGGGCTGGCGGTCTGAAAAAGCCTGCTACACATGGTGGCACATAGGCAGACAGTGCTGCAGAAGGAGCTAAGAGTACATGCAGATCCACAGGCATCAGGAAGAGAGAGACACTGGGCCACACTTCTCCCCATAAGGCCTCACCTCCTAATCCTTTCAAATAGTGCCACTCCCTAAGCATTTAAACATGGGAGCCCATGGAGCCCTCTTATTCAAACCAGCAGGCATCTAAGAAGAGAAGCCTCAAGTGAAGAATTGTGTGGATTCGATGGACCATGGCGGATTGTCTTGATTACTAAGTGATGCAGGAGGGGCCCAGTCCCACAGTGGGCGGCACATGCCCGAGGAAGGTGCTCATGGGATATACAAGAGCTCGTTGGGCATGAGCCTGGGAGCCAGAGAACAAGCCAGCAAGCATCATTCCTCCGTGGTTCCTCTCTCTAAGTTCCTATTTAAGATAGGATTCCCTCAATGATGAATTGTGACCTGAACTATAAGCCAAACAAATAATTTTTTCCCTAAGTTGCTTTTGGTCAGGAAGTTTATCATAGCAACAGAATGAAGCTAGAGCATTTTAGTTAAAGACCTCTGGGAGTTTATTATAGCAATGATTCAATTAAGAGGAGGTGTTGCTCGTCTTCTGTGGTATAAGTAGATTAAAATAGTAACTAGAAATTTGACTAGCTAAATATTAAACATATAGCTGTTCAGGAATTCCACAAACCTTCTGCAATGTTCATATTAATGGTATGTTTCCAAATATAATATAGAGAATATTAAATGTCATCTTTAATTGACAATGCTCCCCATGTAAGTTTAGCAGATCAAACAAGCCTACTCAGTTCACTCTTTCTTTAGGAGGAGAATGCATCTTTTAACATTCTCCATGGGCCCTATGGAAAAAATCTCACATTTAGTTTGAGATCAGAAAGACAATATGGAATTTTGTTTCAGGGGCTGAGGAGATAGCTCAGCAGGCAAGAACACTTATTTGAAAGCATGAGGTCCTGAGTTCAAATCCTGCCCTGCCTCCTAAGAACAAGGTGGAGAGTGATACAGCAGGACATCTGACGCTCTCTCTGGCCTATGCAGTGCACATATGCACGTGCGCGCGTGCGTGCATGTGTGCACACACACACACACATACACACACATAATTTAAAATTATTTTTTGAGACAGGATTTCTGTTTTTGCCTTTAGTAGTCTTAACTACATACATTACTTTTCAGAAGCCGGGTTTTCCAATGCCACATAGGTCATGTTTATAAGTAGACCACAATACTGTCTTTTCCTTTGTGACATGAAGTTGCAAGTAAATCAGCTTAGCCTTTTGTTCAGCAGTATGTCTTATTTGGAAATGTCCTATATATCTGTGGAACATCCATAATTTTATTTATTTTTCTTATTTAGACAGGACCTCACATATCCCAGGCTGGCTTCATCCCTCTGTGTGGCCAAGGATGCTTGGTGCTTGTACTCTCCTGCCTTCATCTCTGCCCTGGAGCCTTACTGACCTGTGCCACCACACCTGGTTCAGCCAGCACTTAGTCTGACTTGGCATAGCATTAATGTTTCCGTTGTTCCACCACAGAACTCTTTGTCTTTGTCTCTAAGATTTCAGCCACTCAGTGATGCTGAGGATGGGGCTCAGGCCTGACGCACGCTGCTTACTGACTGTCTGTCTCACCACCCTGACAAGGGAGCAGTGTGTCCTGGTGGGAGTGTCACGGTGGCAGGATCCAGCAGAGGGTCACATCGTGTCCGCCATCAGGAGGCAAAGGGAGATGAACCCTGGTGCTCAGCACAACTTCTTTTTCTTCAGTCCAGAACTTCAGCCACAGCATGGTGCTGCCCACAATTATAGTGTCTTCTCACCTCCACTGACCTAAAGTAAAACCCTTCACAGACATGCCTACAGACATGCCTACAGGTTTGTTTCCACGGTGATCCTAGGTCCTCACATGTTAACGATCATGCTTCTACATGGCAACAAAGAGCTCTGCTAGAGACTGATCTTGACTGTACCTTTATTTTTCAGTTAAATTTGTGATTTTGCAGTCTTAAACACATACAAGGCTTATGAATCTGGGTAAAAGAGAGTTTTATATTTGATGTGGACAGATCTACACATACAAAGCCACATCTCCAGCTTTTGTTTTTCCTTTTGAGACAGATTCTAAGTTGACCAAATCAATCTGGCTTTTGTGATCCTTCCTCACCCTCTCTAATAAGTGGAATTATATATCAGCAGAGCCAGGTATCTTAGTTTCTTTTGCTAGGAAGAGACATGATTACCAAGGCAGCTTATAAAAGAAAGCACTGAATTGGGAGCTTACGGTTTCAGAGGGTGAGTCCATGACCATCACAGTGGGTTCACAGCAAAATGCAGACATGGTGATAGAGCAGTAGCTGAGAGCTTACATCCTAATCCACAAGCAAGGTAGTAGGGAAGAAATGGGACTGGGTGGGAGAGATAGAGGAAGAGGGAAAGACTGAGCCTGGGCTCTTGAAACCTCAAAGCTCACCTCCCAGTGACATCTCTTCCAACAAGGCCACACCTCCTAATCCTTTGTAAGCAATACCAATGAGCCTATGGATGGAGTGTTTATCTAATTATTCTTTATCAATAAAAACTCAGGATTCAGATATCAGGCTAAGTATGCAAGTGATCAGAGAAGTGACAGAGAAGCCACCAATGACT